AAAACTATTACGCTAACGCACGTACAAAAGCAACAAACTAAAATTTAAACAACTCCCACACATGGAGAATAAGGCTCATAAGCAAGAGAATAAAATAACACCAAAACAAACTACATACACAAACACAGGCAACTAACGCCCCACTAAAAACTACACTAGAATAGAGCCCTCTCTATTCGTCCACTAACACGACCTCCCTAAAAGAACCGCAAGTAACTCCCACACGAGCACCAACTCTAGAAGCTCCAACTAATGACTGACTAGTACCGGGCCAAACCGACCGACGACCCCGCCTAAAGGAACCACCCCAGAATCGCACCGAAAGACCTGCAACCAACCAAAATTGCCCCTGCACCAAATCGACTACGATTGTCGAAACCACCAAAGAGACCACAACCACCATTGTCAGACCCGTCCTTCCAGCACCAGCTATAGTGATGGGGAAATTGGGGAAAGGGATGCCACAAAATTCAAGTTTGATCCTTCGCTTGACTCACTAAAAAATAAACTCTTTGCGATGGAAGACTGGACAAAAAAATCTTAAGACAATTTATCATGCGCTTATTTTGTTTGATGAATGAGAATTAGAGTATATAAGTTAAATCATAGTACTAGCACTGTTTTGAGACCCGGACCAGCCCGGCGGGTCGACCGGGGACCCGATTGACCCGGAGCCGGAACCGGTCCGAGTGGAGTATTTGGACCGGGCAACCAAGGACCCGGTCAAAACCCGGCCGACCCGGCAGAGACCCGGCCGACCCGGGGCATTGACCCGGCCGGGTCAACCTGGTTGACCCGGTCCATATATATTTTTTATATTTTTTTTATTTTTTAAAAATAAAAATATGTATATATGTTTATATGGTAAATATTTATCATGAGATACATATTATTAACACTTTAATATACAAATTTTATACACAAAACATTTAATTTTGTTACTTTTATGTATATTTATATAACAGAAATACTCTATATATAATTTTAAAAATTTTAAAATTAATTATCCGGTTCAGCAATTGATCCAGTGACCCGACGGTTGAACCGGTGACCTGGTGACCCGAGGACCTGCCCGGGTCGATCACCGGGCCAGGTTTAAAAACTATGAGTACTACTTATTAATTGACATTAATAATGCACGAAATTCTTGACATATCAAGTTTCAGTAGCTCAAGTTTTACTAGTTTGTGATGAACCTTAACAAGTTAGATTGAAGACAAATTAGTGAATCACACACTAATGGTATGAGCTACCCACAACTAGACATGACCATTTGGCAGGCCGGGCCGGGCTGGGCCTAACCTAGATCCAAGACCCATCAAAAAAAAAAAAAATTGAAAACAAGATCTACATTTGATTTTCCGGGCAAGGCTAAGGCCGTAAAATGCATAAACCTGAATCGGCACGGTTGAAATCCGGGCTGGGCTCGGATATATGGTCAACGGGCTTGATCGGGCCGGATTCGGGCTGGGTCGGCAGGCCTGGCGGCCCGTGGCCACCTCTACCCACAACTGGTGTAATCGGACCCCAGAATTGAGGTATAACTTGATATTATGATACTTGTACGCAAACTCGTGTAAATATATAAATTAAACATATGTTAATGTACTAGTAAAGTGCACGTGCGATGCACGTGGTATCGAATGATTTTCGCCGAATAGGTTTGTAAAATATATCAATTTATTTATTAAACATATCATTGCAGGAATGAAATAAAATATAGAATAAATGAATTCATATTTTTTTATTAGAATTAACGTAATGATGTCTTAATATAAAAAGAGTGAAATAATGTTTTACAACCCCCAACTAAAATACATAAAAAATTAGATCCTTAATACAAAAAACACTAAATTTTTTTTTCATCTTTCTCATAAGAAACATTCATACTCGCTGGAGTCTAATACATCAATACTATTGCAAAATTCCTCTTAATTCGTTTGGCAAAATGCTAATTTTATTCAAACACTGAAGAAACATTCTGACCCAACATATAGTCAAACTTCAAGATCGTATAATCTTTATAATAAGGTACTTCTACTAACAATGCATAAATATCTCTATGAACTAACTAACTGTGTCATTAAAATTGTTGGTATTTTGTATCATAATATAAACTACTACATTTCTCTGTCTCTAGACATTTTAGTGCCTACCCCATTGATGCATCGCCCCACGAGGTGGGAATGAATTTTATCTCCAAATAAAAAATGACTTGCCAAAATTTTGGTTACATGTACTTCTTCCGAGGTGCTAAGTTATTTTTTGAAATCATCATACATTACCTGAAAGTACCTCTAAAGTAATTGCACATATGTTCGAGTACAATACACCAATGAGATTATAAATATTTCTATAAAAAGTGATAACTTCATTCGAACATTGAAAATTATTTTATGAAAAATATAATTTATAAATTATAATGACATTATGTAATTTTAATGGTATACCTTTTCTATTAACTAAATAATGCCTCAAGTATGAAATTATTTTGTATCCTCCACTGCAGGTAGATTTTGAATAGAACTTCCATTGAAATTCTTACAATTCCAGTGATATTTTTTCCAACTGTTGAAGTATGGCCCGGAAAAAATTCAAACGGAAATTAACACAATAATAAATAATGATAATTGGATTAATTAAATCCACTAAAATTTCAATATAATGTAATTTGATCTCTGTTGGAATAGTCAATGAAATTTTACAATGACAACTATACGAATAAAATATCATTTGGGATTTTCAGTGGATGTCTTACAGTTAGATTTTTCATTGCAATGTACCATTTTTTATTCCTTTATAAATTATATTTTATATGTAGGAGTTTTTGTTGTTAATTTGATGTATTTATAATTTTTCTATTAAAAATATATTAAACACATGAACTATTAACTTATCAATTGAGTTACATTTCTTGCACATTAAATATAAAATAATAAAAAGTATTATTGTATATATATAATATGGTATTTATATATTATATAAAAAAATAATAGCAAATAAAACGTTGTTTGAAATCAAAATTATCAAAGCTTTTTACAAAATAAAAATAAAAATAAATTTCTAACCTACATGGATAAAAGTATAAATATCTATCGTCTAAAATTTATACATTGAACTAATAAGCGCAAAAATTTAACATGTGGTGAACAATTTGGCTCGTTTACATCGATATTTACA